GACACGTGAGTTCAATCTTGCATTTAGATCGGGTTGTTGTATTTTCGTTTTCTTTTAGAGAATCCATTGTTTCAGAACCTCTTGTTGCTGTTGGTGAAGAAAAAGACATGAAGGATACAATCACAAGTGAACGTATAGTTCTAAGTGGGAAGATTGCGAACGATTGCCCTTTCTTTTTATAATCTTGAGCGTTAGGCTTTTTCTGATACATGCGCAATATCTGAACTTTGTTTTTTTTTTGTTTTTGAAAGAATGAAAATGTTGTTATTTTAAAATAAATGTTTGGTTTTATATGTGTAGATTGATTAAAGTAATTACATGAGTGCGCGGAAATGAATTCGTCGATAACATCTTCTTCAAGCTGAATCGCTTTCATTGGAGATTTTAAGCTATCTATCCCGATGATTTCCCTACTAGTGAACTGTTAGTTTACTCAATAGTGAGATGTATTCAGAATAAGAGTGTCATCACCACAGTTGTGGTTACTTATTGTATATAAAAGTACGAATGATTGAATAAATGCACAAGATGGTAGCAAATCGTTTAGTTAGTGGTTATTCTTTGTACTTGAGATGGTTGATCTTCTGGACAGATTGACTTGCTATGTGTTGGTCTTTCGAATTTACATTTACCAATATTTGAAATTCTGAGGAAAAAAAACGTTTTTGATATGCTAAAAGTGTTGTTCTGTTGGTAAAAATCATGATATGTATGTATGAACGCATAGCTTTCAATCAGAATTGTTATCTCATATGTCGTTTTCAATTTGAAATTGAATAATTTAGTGATACATTTCGATGAAAAAATGATGAATACCAATGCTAACCTAATCTAAACTGTTGACAAATATTACTTTAAATGATCATTAACATTTGACATATCTGTCTCGCTCTCTCTGATTGTTTGAATATTTGCTATTGAAATAAATTACAATATTTTTTTATTTTAAAAACTTTTCAAGAATAATATTAGTTGTCAAGTTCCGAAATATCGATTCAATTTATAGTTATTTGTTATGAAGACTAAGTGACATAGTGGCAATGTGTGTCAACCTACGGCCTCTTTCGTAACCATTGGAATATGAGTTCTCTTCGACAGAAGTAATAGCCTATCATTGTCGAAGAAGAGAAAAGAATAATGCATATTTTTGCATTGGGCTGCACAGTTCCGTAGCATTTTAAGAACTTTAGAAGTAGGGACAAGGCCAAGGTCACCAATGAGATTTGTTTTAATAATTTCAAATATTGATAGGCTCTATGATCACTGGTTATGCATTGTGACGATAAATTGTTCATAGTTCGTGTTAGATGTTGAGTTGAAAAATTGAAAATACACTTTGATTTAGACCAATAAATTTACTTTTTTTCTCTCATGACTACAGTGACCCCTCCTGAACTATTCTACGCTGCACGGATTTTTTATTCAAGTCACATTTTATGAACTAAAATAAAATTCTGCAATAAATAAATAAATAAGAAAGCACTTATTGATAAATTATTGTCTGCAATGTGTATAGTATTTTCTTATAGAGTTTATTGTGTTTTTAAAACTGTAAATTAAATTAATCGATATATAATTTTATTTTCAGTATTTCTAAGAAATTCCTTCATCCTGCGTTGCAAGAATATTAGTTACATTTTTTTAGCAACTAGTATTTATTCAATAATGCCTCGAGACTGAATGTCAAAGATGGCGTTTATGTCCCATTATCAACTAATTCGTATTCAACTCTTGTCTTGATTTCGACTGTGCGAAACAGTAAACAGAAAAGAAACGCGTCTGCTATTTTTTTACAATGATCCGCATCAAATTATAAAATAAATAGTATCGCTATGTTAAAATGAAATATTCTAAAAAGTCTCCAGTTTTTTAAATTTTGGAAATTAGAAAACGTACTTAGTGAACTAAAACCAAGAGAAGCATTTAATCATAAATTGATAATGACAAATAAATTTTATCAGTCACTTTGAAGTAAGCACGTAGATACTCTCAGCGTTCATTTAGTTTCTACTATAACCTCTATTAAGTGTATCATGCGAAAGGATTGATACTAAGGCGGAAAAGCGAGACTGCTGAAATATGTCGAAACTATTCTTGAACTTTTTCAATACGCCATTGCACTCGAAAATATGAGTATCCCTTTAGTAACGACTAAAAATATCAACTTTAATCATCGATAGACTTGCGAAGGATGGAGTTTGATTTATACACTAGTCAATATTAGTATTGAAAATCTTAGAATTTTGTAAGCATATTTTCGATATAGTATAGGAGTTCGGGGGGGGGGGGGGGGGGGGGGGGGGGGGGGGGGGGGGGGGGGGGGGGGGGGGGGGGGGGGGGGGGGGGGGGGGGGG